CCCCCCCCCCCCGCCCAACAAGTTTTCCTGAAGTTTACTTGGGGCCCGCCCGGATTATTCAGATCCCTCCACTTGTTGGGGAGGGCGGGGGCTTTATGATCAGAGCCCCCCATTAGTTAGTCACATGCAGTTGAGTTGCGGATTGCTCAAAACTTGGGGTTTTGTGGGGCTCTAATTAATTCCAATGTTTAAGGTACAGGCATTTGGGGTTTAGAGTTTAGGAGCCTGAAAACGTAGAAGACTGGATAATCATAATATGGAAAACAAGCTGAAACCGGCTTCTATAGTGCTGAGTAGGGATAGCATGTTGGAGACACAAGAATCAGAACAGGGCTTTGAAGCACCTTCTACTAGCATCACATGAGGATTGCTAGTGAACAGTCTTGGTACCTTCACAGATTTCTACACTTCCTCACCCCAAGCCCAGAAACCCTAGGGTTTCTGGGGATGTATGTAGTTTCCCAATAGCTCTGTTGAAGCACCACTGTACCGTCTGCTTCGATATGTAGGGCATGTATTCCCTTATTCCCTACTTAGAACCAGTAAGTCATCCTCGATCATAGCCTCTTTCGTAAAATCCTCTAAGCTGGAGGCAAATGGAGTCACGGGAAAACCCAAGCAGCATTTGGAGGTCTATATTGGGGTCCCCTTATTTCGGGAAACTACCATATACATCTGGAAAAAAGGGCTTCTTTTTGGCATCCCCAAAACCTAACCGGAAATGATAGTTGCCATTCCCTTTTCAATTATTACTACCTAATCCGTATAAAGCAACTATACTGCTTGTAATTGCATCATCATCATCATCATCATCATTGTGCACTTGGGTCCCTATATAACACTTACAGGGCTTATAGTTCCCTAAGCCCTATTCTTAAAAGCCTGAGAATAATTTCTGTTAACCCTAAACCCTAAACCCTAAGCCCTAAGCCCTAAACACTAAAGCCTAAACCGCAAAACCCTAAACCCTAAACCGCAATAGTGCAATCAAAGTGCTGTTCCGTCATGGTCTCAGCGAAGTTGATGATGGGTAGCTCCTTCCAGGCCATGCGGTTTAGAGGTTTCCCAAAATTGGGTTTAGGGTTTAGGGTTCAGGGTTTAGGGTTTAGGATTAAGGTTTAAGGTTTAGGGTTTAGGGTTTAGGATTTAGGGTTTACCATTTTGGGGATCCCCATCATAAGGACTATAGTATTTTGGGGTCTATATTGGGATCCCCCTATTTTGGGAAACTACCATTTAGAGGGCCATTATTATCACCTATAATTCACTTGTCCAAAAAGGACAAGTAACCCCTGCACCCTAAACCCAGATATTGGGTCCAAGTAACCCCTACACCCTAACCTCTACACCCCGCACCCAGAATTTGAGGTCCAAGTAACCACCAGGAAGCCGAACCCCTGCCTCATCGAAGACGATCTTGGGGTAGGTGATGTTCACCCTTGGCTTTAGGGCTTAGCCGCTAAAACCTACCATATGATTCTTGTCTACTTGACACCGCAGGGCAGCCCGTTCTTGAGTTTTGCAGCTTGCAGATTTTGGTTTGCTGCATAGATGGTAAGAAACGGAACTAGGCACCAGCCCCACCCGATATAAGAGCGTCGGAAGAGTTATAGGACAAGCATATGCTTCTGGTTTTGGGGGGTAGGGGTAACCCAAATCCCATTATTACCGATCATCATGCTCTAGAACCCCCTGTACTTCTTGTGCTAGCATTACCAAAAATTCTTTTGTTGGGGCAACGCTCAACCCCAAAAAAACCTAAACCCTAAACCCTGAGCAGATTTGGGATTTCTCTCAGGTTCAGTGGGCCATGGCCAAAAAATCCAATGCTGCTTGCGGGTTTAGGATTCAACTTGCCGGAGGCCCTAATGGATTGTGCGTCCATTTCGGTGGATTTTGTGTTATTTATCTGCCTTAAACCTCTGGACTTTTTATACGATCGCAGGAATGGCTGATTGAGCTATGACTCATCATGTATTTGGAGCAGCTACCCTCAAGGTCTCTTCGATGAGCCAAAGATTTGGCTGAAAAGGGCAGGGTGGAGGGTTGCCTGCGAGATCTCTTGACACAGTAAGTCTACTTAGTAGCTAGGGTTATGGGGCTCATGATAGGGGTTATTGGGGATAGTAGGTAGGCTTACTAAATCAAAAGATTATCCAAGTGAGGGGCTCAGGGACTTAGGGTTTAGGGGTTGGCTCCGTGTTCAGTAAAGTAACCTGCTCAGAAGAGTTCTTAGAGCCCGAAGTTAAGCAAATTTAGACCTACATTTTTACGTAAATCACAATATAGAAGGTGAGATCGGGTGAGGTCGCTATAATTTGTCCACCCCTGACCCTAAACCCTAGAATCTTAACACCTGAACACCCAACCCTAACCCCTAAATCCGTGCCATGGTGCGTGTTGATCGTCGCCGTCCAGAGGTAGTACCTGGCAGCCAGCATGCAGGGTCTTGATTTCAGCTTTTCTTACTGAGGGTTAGCAGGGAATGTTTAGGGGTTTAAGGTTAATAGGAAATCAAGGAATATAGTCGATGGGCATTATATAGAGTTGTATTCCCTTCTTCCCCACTTGCCACCAGCAAGTTTTGCTGAACAGTCCTTCTTCTCGCATTCAGGTTCCGGGCTAAGTTTTTAATTTATGGACTGGAGCTTCTATAGCTTAGGATGAGGGGTTTAGGGTTTAAGGCTTGGGATTACGGGCATAGGGGCTAAGGGCTTAGGATGAAGGATCTAGCTTAAGGATTCAGGGTCTAACGCCTAAACCCTAGACCCCAAAGTCCATAGCTCGCAACTTAGGATTTGGGATAAACACTAAACCCTAAACCCCGAATCCTAAACCCCAAATCCTGAATCCTAAACCCTAAACCCCCAAGCCTAAACCCTACACCCCAAAACCCTAAACCCCAAAGCCCCTTAACTTTGGGGAGGCTTTGGCCTGTAAGGTTATGGGTGGTGGGTTTAGAGTTATAAGGCTCAGGGATTAGGATTTGGGATCGGGATCAAGGCTACACTTGGAAAGGCTGACGCCCTCGAGCTCTCAAACCTAAGCCTACAAACCCAAGACCCAAAGTCCTAAACCATAGGGTCTAGGGTTTAGGGTTTAGGGCAAACCCTAAACCCTGACCCTAAAACCTGAACCCTGAACCCTAGACCCTAAAACGAAGCGGAGGTTGGATGTAGAAATGACGGGGCTCAGGCCCCTTACCCAGACCCCTGAACTAGAAAGTAGA